CGCCCGCTGTTACCGGCTGTCCCACGACGGTTGTACCACGTGTGACCTGTCGCCACGACCGCTGCTACCGGCTGTCCCACGCCGGACCCTTGGGGTACTTCTGTACACGGTGGCGGGCGCGTGTACGCCCGCTCGCTACAGTAGCACCCGCCCTCCCGCGCGGTTATCATCTCCCCGGGGGTCGTGGTACGGAATTGTACTACAATACTGACCCATATGTCCATTCATTTCTTTTCCATTAGATCGCACTGCCTGTTCACATCCATTACTTCTTCCAAATTGTTGTATCCTGCCAGCAACGGAACACAGAGCAGCTGCGTTGGATTCATTGGCCAGATTCCTGTTTTACGGAAGGAGATTACAATGTCCTGCCTGCTGAAAGCTTTTCCATACGCATGTAGCAGCATACCGCAAAAGTCAAACATGTCGAAATAGTCCATGCCGCCACGCGAAGCCACGAAAGTCATCGAATCTCTAAGATGCTTCTTGAAAGGCGCGAAAAGTACGACATCTAGTAGCTGTGTCTTTCCAGACGTATGTTCTAGTAAAGTGTACACTATTACATTGTTGTGATGTAGAAAATTGAGAACCTTCAAAGACACGTGCGAATGATATCCGTCATAGAATAGAAGTACCTGCAGGCTGCCTACAGTGATCGTTCGCACATGATCGACAAACTGAACAGCCCAGTTGTAGATTATCTCTCTGTTGACACCTCCATTTTTTGACGGCACGACAGGAATACTTGTTGTGGGAGGACGTCAGCTACACTTTCTGTCGTCATATTACCATCTCTCACGACTTGATGATAAGACAGACACTTTCCCTTAAATACAAACAAGGGCTTCATGGCATCTCAGGCAGCACTTACAGCGGTCATCATCGTGAGACGATTCAAATCTAAAAAATGAACCACTTTCTCATCCATTTCCCCTGCACTCGTCAGATAAAAATGACTATCAGACACACCATTGCAGTCTCTCCCGGGAGTTGCACCAGTTTCGTCGAGATTCATATGCACTTTGCCTGAATATTGCTGTCCTTGATTACTTTCTCCAACGTTGCAAAGCGCTTGGTTAAAGTTCTTGCGTTACATGCTGCATATCGAGCAGCTTCTTGACGTACAGGAAGGCCGAGTTTGAGTTTGTCACCATGACGCTTGATAAACAAACGTAAAAATTTTGCTCCAAGACGTGCGTGTACAAACGATAGTAGCATTTTAGAGAGGATGCAAGTTGGCATACAGCTTCTTGCACATGTTGGCGTCTGAGAGTCACTCCTAGTTCTGCGTACCGACAGAGCCTGTCTACAACAAATTGTTCTTCATTCTCAATGAAAGCTGGAAGCCGTCCTGGAAAGACGGTTGTGCGACTGAGAAGCGGTCAATCCCGCATTACCCGGTAATAAAGCGTAGATATAGGGACATGGAATTTAGAAGCTGCGTAACGGTACGTTGCGCCAGCACGGACAACGGAAAGTGCATTGTGAACGTTTTGTTGATTACGACATGCAGCTGTAGCGCCTTTCATGCCAAAAAATCAGTTGTGGAGTCCCGAGACTTTGGACAGCTCCGTTGGTGGACGTATAGGACTTCATGAAAGCGTATCATTTACCTATGCAATACAAAAACCCTTAAGCACGTTCCAAGAATTGGAATAGAGAGTTTTTGAAAACAAAAAATTGGTAAATTGTGGTGGCTATCCGATTGGCAATTCTTTGTCACATTTAGCGAGGTTTGCGCGGACGGAGATTTTTTGAACCATTGCAAAGTCGTGACTAACTGAACCCCTTCCAACCTCTTACTGAGTGCTACAGCCCTCTCCCCATATCTTCGTCGCCCAAACCCACAATGCGTCAAAAATCGTACAACAAACGAGCTATTGCAGCCAAAATGCGCTCGACCACAAGGCGCCTTCGCCTGTCCATGGTAGCATGTCGCACACGCTCTATATTATTTTATTTTGCCCGCAAGCGCCGACTACTTCGCATAGATCTAACCAAACTCATAAGATTGACGATCGCTGTAAGTTGTATGTCGTTCAACTTCAACATTTATTCCGACCTCCGCTGTCTCCAGGACTTCCGGTATAGGGGCCACAACCATCATAGCTTTCAGAAGACCAATGTAGAGCTGTTCAGTAAACCTGAACCGCTTTGTGACCTGCCCGTTGCCGCCGGGAGGGGCGCTCGGGTGGGAGCACATGTGGCGGAGGAGGACAGAACGGGTGAGGGCGATGATGGTGATGGGGGATGTGAATACGGGTGAGAAAGGGATGTAGTGAGGTGATGATGGCGGAGGTGGTCGTTGCGGGTTTGTTTCTAGTTGGATTTGAATGGGAAGAGAGGGTCTAGTCGGTGAAAGTTGTTGTGGGGAAGGTGTGGACGGCAACGTTGCCATTTGAAGGGGAAGGGAGGCAACGCCCGTACCACAGATAGTGTTCTGGAACAAGACGGGCAGGCGCGTGAGGGTTTCCTCTGTAGGTATGATGGGTCTCGCGGCTCAATGGGTTTGCTAGATGCAATTTTTGGCGGGGGAACGAGAGGTGGACACGAGGTGTAAGGTACCCTTCCATATGGCGTCCTTTTTAAATTCGCTATTTTAATTGATACAGTATTGCGACTTGTGACTAAGGAACGCAAAATTTTTGTCGCTATAGAACAGCTGTCCTGCCACGTGTGCGAAATAACGATTTTTTAGTCACCACTTCGGCTTCAAAAACTCTCTAAGAGCATCTCCACCGCGCAGGCAAATTGTGGCCATTTCTAAAATATGGCGACTCAGGCATGAGTTTGGTCTCCACCGCGCAAATCTGCACACAAATCTGTTTCACAAATCGTATGATAAATAGGATTTGTGTCTTGACGGCACACATATTTTTTGATTTTGTGGCGCGTCACGTCAGGGTGACCCCACCGCGCCTTGCCCAAAATCGCAAAAAGCAGACAGTTGTCCTCCGGTAATTGGATCTACTATCTTTTAATCAAGCCGCGGTTTGGGGGAGGTGGTGATTCAGAGATGAACCCCATCGCGCCTGTAACACGATACATCTATTCATATTCAGGGTCACCCCAATTAGGCTACAAGTATGTCGTAGAAATACATTTGGCGCAAAGAAGCAAGCTACTGCACGCGTCTGTTCCACAATTGGCGGCAACTCTTGCTCGTCACTTGCCCGCTCTCCATAATATGTAGGCTCCTGTTTGGGAATTATCAACTCGGCAAGTACACCACGCTTTGAATTCCTATTATGGACTCTGGAACTGCGCTCTCAGCAACGCACAGGGCAAGATTCTCCTCGTCTGACCACCCCAGTCCCTTACTCTTTTTCCTCACTCTTACTGCCGAGTCATCAGTCCTAGTAACCACCTCAGCCATTGCCTGCACTTCTCAGAAGACGAGAAGGAGGGAGAAGATGGGAAATGTCCACGAGCGAAGGCTGCACAACACTCCTTTTTGCGTCCCACACTACTGATGGGACTTCAGTCAAAACAGCCCCAATGCCATTTGGAAGAGCTTTGGTAGAGCCGTAAGCACATGAAATTCAGATGTTTTCTGTACCGTTACTATAGAACGAAGCTCGCCCAAACGGCGCTTTGGACAAAAATCTCGACCAAACAATTTTGGTTTGGAAAAGAATCCCTCCCAAATTCTAAACTTTAGGACAAATGGTGGCGCGGTGGGGTTCAAAATTTCTACCATCGGTCCGAACTTTAGTCCATCGGTCCAAACTTTAGTGGTTGGAATTTTAGGACAGAAATTTTGTTGGCGGTGGGGTCACCCTCACAAATCCCATTTTTTGGCAACAATCCTCTGCTTGAACGGGCTGATTTTTTGTTACTTTTAGACACCGAAACAGCAAGAACGCGGGAAGCCACGGGTACACCTGACCCGCCCAAAACGTCTGAGCATGCTAAATGCGCAGTGGACGGTCTATGCTCGCACTGCACATGCCCGCATCCACCCGCATGCAGACATTGTGCACGCGTTAACACTCATTTATTATGGGAGTCCGCGGGCGTGGATGGGGGCTAACTGAACTCGACCATCTGGCAAAGGCGTGAGTAGCGACGCGGCCGGGTACGCTTCGGGCGGCGAGGACAAGTCTGGGTGGAAGAGGTCAGCGTCGACGAACTGGACCTCGGCTTTGTGTCCTGCTGGTCGGGGTGGGGGGCGGCCCAGAAGTCGGGGCGCGGGAAGTCTGGGCGCGGATCGGGGGCGGGTGCGACGCAGTGCGCGGTGGAGACCGCGACGCGATTTGCGCAACGGCGATTTGTGGTACTTTCGCAAACGGAATGCGCAAAACGAATGCCCATGTGGGAGCCTGACAAGTGTCCAAATATAGAAACAATTTGCCCATGCGGTGGAGATGCTCTAATAGCAGCTCAAGTTTGTCCGCCCTTTCTTTGATTTTCTTGACAGTAGAGTAGAAGTCATTGCTGAAACTAATTGACATATTTGTTTTGAAATTGATCCACGTCGTTTACAACATGGAGACGTGATAGCTCCAGGAGATTGGTCTTTTGCGGGCCCGGGCCCGGAAAATGACACTTTTTTCGAATAATATTGGTGTTTAAAACATTAGGTCACTGTTCAAAAATTGGGGTGCCCCCCCTTTACCGTACTTTCTGGCGCGCATATAAAAATACAGGTACAGGGGGGGGGGGAGGGGCTCCTCAATAGTTCGCAAGCCAATAGTTCGCTTGGTCAAAAAGTTCGCTTTTCGGACGATGTCACGCCTTCTCACACGGGTACACGTGTACTGGTCTAGACTGTTGTGGTCGCCACCGCCCTCCCTAAAACTGTTGACAGCTTTAGGCTGACATCAGCAAGGCGAGCATAATAGTTCGTTCTGCCAATAGTTCGTATCTGTGGGTCCTGGCACGGGGGCGAACTATTGAGGGGAACCTACTGTATCATACAAATTTATCACCACTACACGTAAATAAGACAATCATCTCTGATCCCTGGTGGAGCGAAACGGCCTAAATCGTTTTCAAGTCTCTCTGCTACACTCCCCACCACATCTTCGCAACTGACTCCTCGCGTGTCGTGGCGATGGCGGAGTCATCATCGCGTCGCCAGAGCAGACGCAGTGTGGACCCGCCCACGAACGACGCGAAAGCGGAATTTACGGTAGGCTATATGCACGAACTGCCAACCATGCTTTCGTTTGCTTGATACATTACTCACCCGCCATCTAACATTCTCAAAGGCTTGTCTCAGTCTATACTCCACCTTAACCTGGCGTTTCACCCGCTCCGCTCCTTTTCTGTATCGTACATTGCGGCGCGATGTTCCTAGTCCCAGGCGTACAAATGTGCAAGCACTTCCTACAGTTCGTTACGTTGCAGCGGATGACAGCATCAATTGGTGGAGGAAAATCTCAAAGATGCGATGCCTTTGGTGCGCCCGACGTGTCTATCGCTTTGCTGATGACACTGAACTCATGCAACATCTCCAGACCTGTCACGGCCGCTTCAAGTACGAATTCGAGAAGAAGAAACCCACGGGCTCAAAGTCACACACCGAAACCATTGTATATGTACGTATATCTATGTCACCAAAATTGCATTCCGTGGAGAATGTAGTAGAGTTCACATGCGAGGACGGCGCGCACTTTGATAAGTGCGACACTAGCCCTTGACATGAGACAAGCGGGCATAGGAGAGTTAACCAACTGGCATGTATGATTGTGTATTACAGATGAGCTTGCGGGATGATCCATCGAGACTGTCGTCAACGTCTGCCGACCTAATTACTGAGGCAGGAGAAGATGATGTTTACATCAACCCAGCCAAGTATGGCCGTCGACTAAAAAAATCTTCTTCTACTAGAGCAAAGACCAAGCGAACATCTTCGTCATACGACGAGTTACAGACACCCAAGCGGCAGCGCCCGTCTCGAGCGTGTGTCACAACGACGCCGAAGTCTGAAGACGCTAAAATCCCAGTGGATGCGAAGAGAACCGAGGATGCAAAGATGCCTGAGGAACTAAGGAAGCCTTCCAGCCGTTCAGTACCAGCCCAGCAAAGTAGAAGCAAGACAAAACCGACGAAAACTCGGAGCGCATCCGTGAAAGTAGAGAAGGCTACTCCCGCTTACAAGAATGCGGCACACGCTGTGAAGGAGAAGAGGTTGTGGCATTCAATTTTGCAGCATCCGGTTTCTCTGGAAGAGTTTCAGGCTGAAGATGATTCGGATGAGGACAGGGAGGAGGAATATGAGTGGAGACTGCACCTCGCTGACGATGAAGTCGAAGAGTTTGAGGACACTCTCCCGGTTGAAAAGCTGTTGATGAATCTATGGAATCAGTTTTTGGTCATGGATTATCACGCGTACGCTGATCACAGGGTGGCCCCGGCTTGCAACGCTTTTGCTAAGAGTAAGTTCTGTTTTCAATTATTTCCAGGTTTGCACCCCATTGTGCGGTTGGCTTGCTGCATTTCGGACGGAAGACATTAGCTGACATTGCGAATATGTATTGTGCGAGCCATTAAGAATACCGGCGTATCATTCAGAAGTTCAATCTCGAGGTTACATTTTTGCGACATCTCACTGAGCTAGGACGCATAGGTCTGCTTGATTCCGATGCGATTTGCGATACTGGAATGATTCTAAGAAATCGCGATACAGAACCAGTGAAGGAGGAGGAAGGTGCACGTTTTTTGTTTGCGGAACGCATCATCCGGCAAGCTGACGAGGAAGCGGGAAAAAAACGGACCCAAAAGATCTAAAAAGTCTTTATGGGGCATAACAGCCGGCATGCGATTGCTGCTGTTTGCATCCCCAATACTGAATGTGAGATTCTACCGCGACCTTTTCAGCCGCGCTCAAGACTGGTAGTCAACAGTCAGGACCTTGTCCCTAGACGGCTCATTCCGAAGTCGATGTGTCGCCTGAGCCAGGTCCTGAACTACCGCGCCCTTACAGAGTCTACGAAGCTTGAGTAAACACATGTGCCGATAAATGCGTTCCTTCTTCAACTGTGCCCTGAGGGCAGCGATATCTCGTTGAAGTACTCCCATGGCAAGTGTCTCCTGAAAAGAGAACGACTTGTTGTAGTGTCTAAGCCCAGTCATCATCGATTGTAGACCGCTCCAGCGTATTCGCAGCTAACCTTGCTACGCTTCTGACGGAATCTACTTCAGACTTGTCCATTTCCCGTTCTCTAAGATGCTCAATCACGGATATATCGCCGAGTTTCATGAGAGCTAATGCTGCGCATCGACGCAGCTCGCTGTCGTCATCTGTGAGCATGATCGCTATCCTCTTCACCTCATTTACACAACCGGCATTGGCCAAGGCAGTGGCAGCTTCTGCACGCACCTCCGGACTCTCGTCGTTAAGAGCAAGGCTGATGGCTTTTAAGGCGCGCTCCCTCATCCCGGCCTTTTCTGCGTCGCCTTCGCTCCAGTCGTCATCTGAAGTAGCTCCCATCATTGGAAGTGCGTCTCCAATGGCAACGGCACCTAACGCAGAAACGACAGCTATGCGGACGTCTGTATTCGGATGGCGTAGACTTTCAAACAACGTTTCGCTGGCATCCCCTTGCATGTACGCTATCGCCCACGCCGCGTGCCCCTTGGCTGTCATGCCAACATCCGGGTTTGAAATTAAGTCAAGCAATTGAGTTACTGCCACACTGCCCATCCTCGCCAACGCCCCTGCTGCAGACGACCTTGCGACAGTATCCTCATCGTGCACCAATGCAAGGAGGAGCGGGCCAGTCGCTGTAGAATCTCCAATCTTCGCCAGCGCTTTCCCACAACTTCGCCGCACAACGGGATTTGGGCAACATGACAGACCCTCCAACAGCGGCGGGACAGCTACACTTCCAATTTTACCGAACGCCTCCACCAGCCCCAAACGCGCCATCCCTCGAGCATCGGCTAAATGGATTACCATTGCCTCGAGCTGTTGTTGCGATGGTCGGTCTCCAGCCTGCATCATTTCATTCACAGACGATGTGAGAGCATCTGTGGACGAAGGATCTATGTCGTTTGCCAGTGTGCGAAGGTCTTCGGCATATGTCGTGCTTTGCATGGCCCTGGAGCAACATCGAGGAGGGTGGCGAATTCTTCCGGATGATGGTCGTCGAGAGCAAATCGCGGCCCTGCGGTTACCGAAAGAGCATGGGAAACGCCACGACGGTGAAACAAATGCCCTCATCTCATTCAAGCAAGTTCTTTGCGGAATTGGGACAGGCTTTTGCCGAACTATGAATGCCAAAAACATACGCAAAGATGGCCAGACCGGGCAGAGTAGCTATACAGGGAAGTGTGAAAGAGGGTTGTCAATGACCGGAGAGGAGATTCATCGATTGCATGATTCAGATCATACTGCAGATCCTGAATTCTGTACAGTGAACCCTCCCGATAAGGATCATTCTCCATATGGATATCCTCCGTAAACGGATAAAAAGTCGAGCGACGTACTCCGTACCTTACAACTTTTTACCAAAAAACAATGTCTGTGGATTATTCCTCAATTGGATATCGCGTTCAATGTGAAATAAGCATATCATACAGACCCCTCCTACTTAAAAACGTATTTTAAGGTTACTTTTGAGCGGCCAAGGCACAAATTACCCCATAACCGTTCATTCTTGATCGATCCCTTCACAATCTGCTCAATAAATTCCAATCCCCGTCTGAGGCTTCGCAATTATCATCGTTCTCGACAAAAACATCTTTCTAGCATATACTCCTGTTGGTCCTCCCCCAATAAATCTCCTCTGATCGCAAACATTGCGTGTTGTCAGCACCGTAGCCATCTGCCCCCGTCAAGCGACAATCGTCGATGAAGCGCTCTGAGCTTAACCTCGCCCAAAAGCAACAAATGTGTGCAGAGTTCCAACGGCGCAAAAAGAGCAAGGAGCAGACGTCACAAAGCGCCCTTGCGAAGTGGGCCTCAGTACAGTTTTCCCTTTCCAAACCTCCTGCTCAAGCTGTCATGTCCCGCATCATCAACGGCAAGTATGGTTTTCGTCCCGATATCTCTGCGTACCAAGAAGGGGAATTGCACAGATTGTGCTGTACGGTATGAAAGGAGTGTTACGTACAGTGCTAGCCAAAATGATAGGGACACAGGCTATTCGCACTGTGGCAGCCCCCTTTTGCTCCAATGATAAAAGAGAAGAGGCTCTGTATACGTATTGGGCGAGCTAAACGTGATGGAAAAGACGGTTTTATAGAATAAAAAAAAGCCTTGGAGCTATAACGCAAAAACGTGTTTACGGCATGGCCATAATGATAGGGACACCAGGAACTAACTCGCATTTTGGTGCAAAACGCAAACTGCGTTCCGCCGAAAGGCGTAAAGGCCATGCTAAGGCTACACTCGAGGGATTTGCAGACGGTTGTGCAGAAAACAGACGGTTGGTAGCTTGGAGAAATGGGAAGAGGCAAAGTCCTGAGCGAGCACGAAAGGGGGCTTATCGCTGGTCTTTCTCAAGGCGGTAGAACCATTCGAGACATCGCTGCTCGTGTGCAGCGCTCCAAGAACGTAGTTTCTAACTTCCTGCGCGCGCCGTTGGAATATGGGAGAAAAAAATCGCCAGGAAGACCGCAAAAGCTATCTCCGACCGACAAGAGAAGGTTACTTCGGGCTGCTTCAAATGAAACAAAAGGCTCTAACACGCTTCGTCAGGAGCTGGGACTCTCTGTTGCCTCACGGTCAATCCGCCGCACGCTGCACAACGACCCGAACTTCCAATTCAAGAAGATGGTGTCGGCTCCAATGATGCTGCCCCGTCATCTCGTCGCTCGTGAAAATTTTGCGAGCGAGAAGCTGACATGGTGTCCTGCAGATTGGTATAAAGTCATCTGGTCCGACGAGAAAAAGTTCAATCTCGACGGACCAGATGGCTTCGCCTTCTATTGGCACGACCTGAGGAAGGACAAGCGCATATTCTCGAGAAGGCAAGGAGGTGGGAATTCTGTCATGTTTTGGGGGGCTTTTTGTGGGACGAAGAAATGCGAATTGGTGTTGCTCGAAGGAAATCAGAACGCAGAGGACTACATACAGACATTAGAAAGTTATTTGCTACCGTTCATTGATCAGGAGCTGGACGCAGGATGGCTATACATGCATGACGGAGCTTCTATTCACAGGGCACATAGGGTCAGGCAGTTTTTTGAGGAGGAAGAGGTGCCGGTTATGGACTGGCCGGCAAAGTCCCCGGACTTCAATCCTATAGAGAATCTCTGGGGTCTGTTAGCACGTGCTGTATACGCTGGTTGTCGTCAATTTGACAACGTCGAAGAGCTTAAAGAGGCCGTTTGGGAAGCCTGGGATAACATCACAACGGACACACTGAAATCTCTTTTGGGGTCCATGCAACGACGCTGCAGGGACTGTTATCTTACCAAGGGAGGTGCTACAAAGTACTGAGGTGAGTATTGCGCATACATGGGGTCCAGATAATGGGGTAGAGGTCTTGTCCCTATCATTATGGCCATGCCGTAAACACGTTTTGCCCTATAGTTCCGAAGCTGTTTTTTGTTCTATAAAACCGTTTTTTCTATCACGTTTAGCTCTCCCAATACGTGTGCAGAGCCTCGTCTCATTTATCATTGGAGCAAAAGGGGGATGCCACAGTGCGAATAGCCTGTGTCCCTATCATTTTGGCCAGCACTGTACGTAAAGGGGGGGGGGGGGGTGCTGCAATTGTCGGACAGTGACAAAAAGATCGGACATGCAAAATATTTTGAAAAATATCTCCGACACGGGCCAAGGTGCACCGCCGCGCGTAACGGCGCCAGACAGTGCGCCGTAAACGGGGCATGTTAAGACACACCCTGAGGGTGTGTCTTAACAGGGTCTTAGCTCTGTTGTAAATAAAGATGTAAGGTATATGATAAGGTACACATTATGTTAAACAAACGGCATACACCGGCATACACCGATGGTGTAAGTAAAGAGACGTTAAATTAAAACAAAAGACAGCTTACAGTTATAACGCCACTTACAGTAAATGTTTACTCCGTAAAATTCCCGAGTAAACATTTACTCGCAAGCAGGTTAACATTCACTCGATGTCGAGTTGAACGTTGCCAGTAAATGTTTACTCCGTAAAATTCCCGAGTAAACATTTACTCGCAAGCAGGTTAACATTCACTCGATGTCGAGTTGAACGTTGCCAGTAAATGTTTACTCCAGAATTTTACCGAGTAAACATTTACTCGCAAGCAGGTTAACATTCACTCGATGTCGAGTTGAACGTTGCCAGTAAATGTTTACTCCAGAATTTTACCGAGTAAACATTAACTCGCAACCAGGTTAACCTTTACTTACGGAAAAAAGCGCGCGAAACCGGAACACTCCTCTCGTATTGCTGCGAAAAGTTAGATTTTTAGCATACATATAAAAGCAAACCCGAATATTTTTGTTATCGGGCGCTGACCCTCATGACAGAAAACGAGACGGGACTCCCGGAAGCAATTTGCAAATTGTCCCTTTTGGTGTCGTCGCGCGATCGTTCTCATCCACTTTCACGACTGTTGTTGTCCAGAATTTGGGTGTTGTGGTATGTATCGCTCTCCGTCTCGTTTCTAGAGCGACAATCCCGGATCTGATACTTGAACTGACTTTTTTAGCCTCCGAATTGTGTTTCATCAACAGGTGCAGAGGGAAAAAGGAATAACGATCTGCGTGCGCCGGCGTAGAGAGGACAGGGACTACCACTCAACGGATCCACAGCCAAGAGGCAATCTGTCTCTCGCGGGGCTATAGGCACTGTTCTTGCGAATGCGGACTTCTCAAGCTGCGGATGAGCCCGCTGGGGCTTTCGGTTCGAGCGACGGAGTGGGTCACGTTTAAGGATCGTCATCACCGACAGCGAGCGGGAACATCTTTGGGCTTGAACATGGTGTCCAAGGTGACGCCAATAACGATCCGAAGGTCCGCCAGTCACCCCCTGCGTTTTTGAAGCGCAATCGCCCTTCGTAGCCGAAGTCACTGCCTTTTCAAATCTGGCAAACCGTAGAAGCGAAATATCTTCGTGCGCACAGCTGCTGCAGCAGATAATATATAAGCACGGCTACGTTTCAATCCCTCTCCAAATTTCGATTCCCCAGTGAAACAAAACGTCGCCGTTGGGGGCGCCACACATCGCAAGTAGATTGCATGTGAAGGACGCCATGCCGATTTTTCTATTAAGTGGAAGTAAGCAATGATCACTTAAACGATAAAATAGCTTGACCCTTATTTTGAATTTGACAAGATCAAATATCCGCTGAAATATGCCTTTGAATGCACGAACGATTAGCTGCGATGCGACTGGAGAAACTAGTTACAAGGATATCGAAACTATGCGTATCATGAACGCAGAAGTGTATTTCTAACATACCGAATAGTAGTAAATTTGTTTGTTCGCTGTGTGCAAACCCTATGAAAATCGCGCTGTATGTAAGGCATGCTCCTATTATGAGCATGCTTTACCTAACGCGCTATTGTTCAAAGTCTCATTTTTGAGCTTTGAGTACCAAAATAGAGGGACTCGAAACTCAAAATGAGAATTGCCGCGAGGCATGGCCAGGGGGCGCTTCAGGGGTGGAGCAGGTACTGCACTGCGCATACGTACAGTATTCTCATTTTGAGTTTCGAGTACCAAAAAAACGGGACTCGAAACTCATTATGAGTTTCGAACCCCCAAAAAAAGGGACTCGAAACTCATTATGAGTTTGGAGTCCCCTTTTCTGGGGTTCCAATCTCAAAATGAGAATACTGTACCCGAAGGGTACAGTACATGTGATTAGTACAGTATCTCTCGGAGGCTCCCTTCGTCGCCTTGGGGCCGCCAGACCACGACTACATGCCTGCACTCCCTCTGACAGCAAGCGCCAGCACATGCAAGCGCAATTGGGCGATGAAAAGGACGGCGTCGTCGTCGTCAGACAAGTCTTGAAGAGGGGCAGAGCTGCTGCGCATGCCTGGAGATATCTCCCCGTCAATTGTTGTGACGGCCACGACGCGAACGATGCCCCGACTGTCGTGTCTTCTGGCAACGCCGTTATCGACTTCGTCGGCCATCCCTCAGACGG